TTAAATTGGAAAAATTGGAAAATGATCCTCATTAAAAAATTTTATTAATGAGAAAGACTTAAATCAAGATACTGATAATCTTGTACAATATTGATATTTTTAATCTACAAAAATTTATCAGGTTCTTCTCACTGATAAAATTTTTTATGAGAGATTTTTTTCCAATTTTTTATTTTTAATTTCACCCGTTTTTTTTGTTTTCTTTTTTCCCCTCTTTTTTCCTTTTTTTTTTTGGGAAAGAATTGTGTTATGATATTATAAGGTGTATTTTCAATCTTCTAATTAGGGCTTGTTTGGGAAACATAGGAAACCATGGTTTGGGTCCCAGATTTACCAAACAGGAGGGAAAATTAACAAATCATGGTTTTGGATTTAAAACTATAGTTTCAGAAAAAGTGAATCTATTTTGCTTCTGACTCAAATTGGAAAGTATGATTGTGCCTATCAAAGTATATCTCAATAATAATATGACTTTAACATCCCTCAATTATTTTTTTATAAGCATATTGAATCTTATATTTTATAAATATATATACACATATTAATTAATTATTAATTATATTATCTTATATATTATTAATTATATTGGTAAAAATATATTATTAACAATTTTATTTCTTCAAATTAAAATATATTATAAAATCTATCTTTTATTTAATTATCATATTAACTTATGTTTTTTTAAAGTAATTTGTACATATAAAAAGTGCTTCTAATAACAACTATCCAAACACTCTTACTTTATCAAAATCACTTTTTCACAAATTTATTCTTCATAAAATCTATTCTCCCAAAAATCTATTCTCCAAAATCTATTCTTCAAATCATAGTTTGGTTTTATCCAAACATCCCCTAATCACTAATGAACTATCACACGGTACAAAATAAGGAAGGCTTAAAAAATCTAGATTCGTGTTGAAGATCATAACGCCTCTAAGAAGAAATGTTGCTTACAAGGAAGTGTTTCCTAAATTTTTCAATTAAATTACACTACTCATCATCATCATCATCTGTCCTTCTTGGCTTTAGCACGTATGTTTCCATTTTCATATAAATTAAGATAATAGCCCCATGTATTACACGGGTCCAATGCTAGTTCATAAATAATTTAAAACATTAATTTTCATTTAAAAAACATTAATTTTATTTCAATATCATGGATTTTTTTTTTTGGGTGCAAAACATACAACATCAAGTTACTGACTTACTAGTTATAAAAGAAAAGGATATTATATAAATATTGGTTGTTTTTCCTCATCTTATTTTTTTTCACAAGTGGATCCACATCATCCTTCTCTCTTAGGGACAACTTAAATTACTTGGTTAGACTTACTTATTGCTTAGATATCCTTAATTTATTTTATAACCATTAGATTAGATGTTTGGCTTTTCATTTTTCTACATATATGCATATCTTCTCCATTCTAACAAAAGTTCCGCTTTTTTTTATAATTATTTTATAATATATTCAAACTTAAACTAAATCTTCTTACATAAAAGGGTAATTATGTTGTAATTAAAAATAATATATTTAACTAGAAATAATTTTAATTTCCCAATAAGATAAAAAACGTTAAAAAATATTTTTTTAAAAAAAATATCTTTCTTTGCCCAAATCCTGAAAGCTTGAACCGGCCAGCCACTATTGCACAGTGGGGACAGGGATTTGGGGTCTCCAAAGAAAAATATAATTGTCACACAAAGTTACATTTTCTAAAATATGCGGTTTATGCGCAAGAATATACTAATTGTAAATTTTTATAATTAATTAATTTTCTTTCATAGGGTAAAGATCTAGAGTCGACACTTTTACCAATTTTTACAGTGATAAAATAATCTGCTATTTAATATCAGACAGTGTCTCAAATAGGATTGTCTTTAATTGGCCGGAGGATACCTATGCATAAAAAAAAAATCACGCTTTTGAATGATATTCACAACATGTTGTAGTCTTTACTTTTTTTTTCACAATAATATACAAGTAATCACTTCAAATTTACAAGCTGCAATATTTGAGATATGATACATAATACAAATATATTTTTTAGAACTAGAGATAAGATATAAATTTGATTATAATAATCCCTCGATAATTTTATCTCAATTATTGTTGTCCGTTTAAATGAAGTATATCAAATTGAGAAGTCAGACTTAACAAACAATAAACTACATTAGTTGAAGTATACTCTACTTTTTAAGGAATAAATTAAAATATTAATATTTGATAGACTAAATAAAAAAATGTAACACTATCTGAAGGGAAAAAAATCGAATTATTTATTTAATTTGCCTTTAAAAATTAGTTCATAAAAATTGATGTGGTTTAAAAATAAACCCCCTTACGATGACCGTTATTCTAATTATTATTACTTATATACAAAATTACATGTTTTTTCTTTAGTTTACACAAATTTTAATACAAGTTATATGATTTGTTTTATAAGTAAGGCTTACAACTTATGCACACCAAGTACGAAAGAGAATTTTAAAATGATATATAATCTGATCCAGAATATAAGTAATCTTCTTAAAAAATTCTTTACTTCATAATATAAGTTACTTGGCACATTAAATAATAAATGATTATTTTCCCTTTTTTCTAGATAATTATTGTTTAAATAAAAATCCTTGTATTTTCTTTTTCTTTCAGAAGCAATTTTTTTAAAAATTTAAGACAAATTAAATGAATTAATCACTTTTTCTTAATTTCAGTGAGATAATCGAAAGTAACTTATATGATAGAGAACAGAGAATATGTATGTATATATTTTCTTCCATTCACAATATAAGCCGCATTCATTAATTCATCATAATTAATAAATAATGGTTAACTCAATAAATCTGTTTTTAATTGAAATATTTTTCCAACTTTACCAACGTTAAATGAGATTGTGAAGGGGAAAGAAAAATACAAAAATAAATCAATAAATAAACATTAACTATTTTCCAAATAATTTATATTTTGAATGAAGTCATTTTTCTATATATTTGGAAAAGAACGGGTCACATGTAGTTTTCACTATTATTGGACTTTGGACACAGTGCATGTGCCATCGATTAGGTACACTGATCATTGAATTAGTTGCCTTCTTAGCTGTTTTGATTTTTGGGTCGCCCATTTAGGGCTGGGGTATTTTTATTCCTTTTTCCTATTTTGAATTTTTTTAAATTATTTTTCCAGCTAAAACAACATTATTTAATTTTTTTTAAAACTAAAGATTCTCGGTTTCTTATGACTTCACTTCATTACTCGAGGCGATAACCCAAAAAAGCACAAATCCTTGTAAAAGTTTTTTAATGGGGAATAGAGGCGGGGATATAGAGAGAGAGGGGTGTGAACTAATGAGCATCCGGCCATTGATAATTTTGGCCACTTATCAGTGAAGAGCAGGTGATCGCCGCATAAAAATATACTATCTCTTATTATAAGATTTTTTTAAGAAAACAGTTCAAATTAGCTAAAAGTAATTAATATTTAGCAAATATAATTTTTTTCAAATATACCCCTATAAATAAATGGGTAGATGTGAGAGATTAAGAGTGAGATATGCCTAGGAGTAAAATAGGTAATAATATATTAAATGTTTAGACAAACCCAAAAAGAATCTTATAAAAAAAGACAAACCTATTCAAAAAATTAAATCTTATAATAAGAGACCGAGGGGGTATGTATTTGAAAATAATAGTTAGTGGACAAAAATTAAGCACTAGCAGCTTAAATTGCTGCACAGCACATAATTTGCTGATCCAACTTTTTTGACTTTTCCTTTCTAACAGAAATATAAATTTCTTATTTTTCTTTTTACATTTTAATTTAAAATGGCAATATCACTTCTTTTTAATAAAGAGACAATATGTTTTCTTGATATAATTTAGAATATTCTAAAGTCATTTTATACTTGAGACTAATCTTTATCGAACTTGGAGTATAAAAGTTAAAGTTCTCCCAACAAATACGCTTTTCAGGATTTAAACTTATGTTTTCCTCTTTACAGAGGTGAGATTGTTTACTATCTCAACCAACAACTTGATGATGAGAAGACAATATTAAACTTGCCACATATCAATAAAGAGACAATGCTAAGCTCCATTTGGATTTTTTTAATGAGAAATGTTCAATAAATTTTATTAAAAAAATTAGTAAAATTAGTAATTCTCATTAAATATGTTTATTTTTTAATGATTTTTTAAGATTGTCCTACTTCAATAAAATTTATTAAAATTTTTCCACTCTTATTTCTCTGTGTATTTAAATTCTTAAATATACTTAAAAAAATAGATAATAATTTTATTTTAAAAATGTGTAAAATCTCTTATAAAAATTTCAATTTATCGCAAAATTAACCCAAAAAAAAGTTTGTCTGACGGCCGTTTTATTAGCTAAAATGGAGGCGCGTCGCCAAATAGTCATTCCCAATTCGCCACTTCTGACCAAATCCATCACCAAAAAGCAGCAACCATACGCTCCTCAGTTTTTATTATTCCACGTGTCACTTTCCCATTCGTAAGATGATCCAATTTATTCATCGCTTTTCGAACTCCCCAATTCCTGATCCCCGATTGTCCTAGGAAACGCATTTACTCACTCGCAGATGGTTTACTCGACGGACACTCGCTCTCTCCGGAAGACACCTGTCCGGTTTTGTCTCTCTCGTCAGCTTTAAGTCCCCGTCTGGTTCCCACCTAAGAAATGCTCGAGCGTCAGGGTAAATTTGGTCGATCCAAAGGAACTTTGAGAAAAAACCACTAGCGGTTTTTGACTGCTCGAAAACCGGTTTTCCGGTTTTTTTGTTTGTTTTTTGTTTTAAGGGATACGGGTTACTAGACAAACAAAACCATACCGAACCATTGAAGCTTTCCAAATAAAGTATTCAAAGTGCATCATTCATAAAAAGCACCTCTCTCATAAGGACCTTCCCAAAAGGAAGCCGTCTTCTTCTTCTTCTCCTTCATCTTCATCCTCACCGTCTTCTTCTTCTGGTTTTCTTTCTTCAGAAGCCCAAATTGTTCTGTAAGTTTCAGCTTCTTCTCGAGCATATACGCACTATTAATTATCATCACGATCTCATTTTTACGATTATTATAATAATTATTATTTTTGAGTTTTATTTTATCTGTGATTTTGGAACATTATTCTGATTCATTTGAGGATGATTGTAGTTTGGTTGATCTGGAAGGTGAAGGTGTTAAGAAGCCCTAGAAGAATGGGGAGAGGGAAGATTGCGATAAAGAGGATTGACAATTCAACAAACAGGCAAGTCACTTTCTCAAAGAGACGAAGTGGTTTGCTCAAGAAAGCCAAGGAGCTTGCCATCCTCTGTGACGCACAAGTTGGGGTCATCGTCTTCTCCAGCACCGGCAAGCTCTATGAATATGGAAGCTCCAGGTTCCTCTTCTTTCCACCTTCATTATTTATTTATTTATTTATTATTTTGTTTCTCCCCCCCCCCTCAAAAGCTACCACAGCATTTTTTCTTTTTGCTACTCTCTTTTGGTCTAGATAATATGCCTCTAGTCTACACTCCTTCCTTTGTTTTAAAGGCCAAAAAAAGAAGAAGAAAAAAATCTTGAATGTGATGACATTCATTCAGATTGATCTGAACGGTGGCAGAAGAAATTAGCAGTCTTTTTTTAAAACAATATAATCCCACTGGCATATATTGGAGAGCATCTGCGAGCTTGAAATTGATGCATTAAAGATTGCTGTATGTCGTCATCTCTGTTTTTTCTCTCTCTTGTGGTTTTGCAGTGATCACTTTCCATTAAAATATGTTTTTTGATGCTTTAATTAGTTTTGGATATTGAGCTATTCTTTTTTCCTTTTTACCTGTTATATGCTTGCTTAGGTTAACAATTAACAGGTGTTAGAATTTTGGGTTGAATCATTCATTAAAAAATATGGCACGCTAGCTGCATAAGAAAATTTTACTGAGAGATTATAATCATATTTGGACACTAAACAAAATCTTAGGTTTTAAAGCCACAAAAATAACCCGAATTATTACGAGATATTCAATCCAAAAAAGACAACAAAAAAGCAATATAAGTACAAGAAACTGAATAGCACTCTTTATTCAACTTCTTTTATGCTAATTATGTTACCCCCACTAGTACTTCACGGATCTTCATGCTTTGCTGTGTACTCAAATGATCTTTCAAGCCTCTTGATACTTTTCCTCTTTACTGGACTTCTAGTGGTTGGGCTTTCAATGCCATGTAGAAGATCTTGGGATTGAACCAACCGCTTTTGGATGACATGGACACCACTCTGATGACTGTGAATGCCACATATGACATGGCTGCCATGTAGGACTTGGCTACCAACTTGAATATCTTTATTGGATGCCACACAGGACACCATCTATGCTTATATTAAGTGCTATTGTTTGTTAGTAGTCTTCTTGTTCTGATCAATGCAATGTAAATTTGCTACTAAGCTTAAAAAACCAAAAGAAACGACACAAAAAAATATGAAAAGAGGATATGTGTGTGTGTTTGTGTTGGAGTATTATCCACATGCATGCGTAAGCTAGGTGTGGGAATCGTAATGTCATCAGTATAGCAAGGCTAGATAGAATATCAGAAACTCCTCCTTCCTCATTACATATATATACACTACTTCCGGTTCTAATTATAAGACATCATTTGTAGTCTATAAATGAGGTCTTATAATTAAGATCAGAAGTAGTATATTCTTAATAGTAAGACCTATCCTGTAAAGTGTACACTAGCCACATAGGCAGACTGGCAAACTCATTTACAATTACTCTTTCTAAAGTTCAAAGATATATAGAAGACGTTAAGCATTGGCAGTGACATATTCTGAAAAGGAATCTGAAAAGTTGAAGTTGCTGCGTTAACAAATTTTTTTGTATTTAGAGAGCGTCAATGACCTTATAACCAAATAGCATGAATATTCTGCTGTAAGCAGAAACATTGTAAGTTTAAGTTTAATCGTATTTGAAAACTAAAGAAAAGGGAATTTAGGAGGGTGTTATACAAAAAAAATGGAGTGGGCCTGAAATTTGCCCTCTGTCCATCTCTCTATAGTTTTCCCCCAATCATTTTTGTTTTCTCTATTCTCTCATGGTAATATGTTATTAGAAGATCACAGATACCCTTTCCCTATACAAACTCAAAAAGCTGTGCATGCGCATATTGTAGTACATTCCGTGCTTTTTTTTTTTTTTTAATGAGCACGGAATGCTCAAGTTAGTTTGGATCACTTAGATTAATTTTGAATGGTCCATATTTAATTTAATTTTTTTTCTTATTTTAGATTTTTTTAAAAAAATTATAATGTTATAATAAACAATCTTTTTTAAAAAAATAAATTTATTATTAAAAAAAGTGTAAATTAAAAATTTTAAATCGAAATCATTCATACCATGTTTTGGATGGTTTAGATTTCATTACAACAATGAAATCTAAACCATCCTTGTACTGCATATTACATTAGGCACATTTTTTTTTTTTACTAATGATTTACTTAGTGGAATATGTACTTGAACATGGACTTTTCTTTTCATTTTTTTATTCAACTAGTAAAGATTGAAATGCTGGAAGATCTTTTTTCCAAAACCTTACCTATTTAATTCTAATATCCTTTTTTTTCTAGAGGGAAAAACAATTTTCCAAAGACGGGTGTTTGTGGGGACAATAAAAGTAATGATCTAGGCATTTTGCAATATGACTTATATTGAAAAGGAAACCTCCCTACGCTCTTATCATCCACTTGTTTTTTTTCTTTTTTCATTCTCACTATTAGATCAACTTTGGACGGTTGATATTTAATACTATATAAAAATATTATTTTGATATCAACTAACAAAAAAATTATATAAATAAGTTTAAATTATTAAATTTTGAGCTAAATAGTTCACATCTTTATAATTTTATTAAAATATCTTATATATATTTTTATTTTTTATAAGATATTAAATATCAACAGTGGTTTTTGAACTGAAATTAAATATCGACAGTTAGTATTATTTATATTACAAAAGTGTAAGCCATATTGATGCTACCTCCTATCCTTGATATAAGAGTTAAATAACTAATTTGTGGATATTCAAAAAATTAATTGTTTGAGCTATATATTTGTAATAAATGGATGTTGTTTTCTCTAAAATATCCTTGTTAGTTATGTGCATCAAAACTATTTCTTGGTAGAAACTCCTTAACATGTATAATTACTATAGGAATTGCTTGGTGAAAAAATTGATAAACATTGAAGACAAAACAGATTGAGATCTTGGGATCTTATATTAGGGAACAAATTGAATCTCCAACTAGCTCTGTTTTTTTTCCTCCTTTCAGTTAGCTCTTATATCAAGTAGTAGAGGTAGTATTATGTACATGAATAGTTAAAAATACAATACATATTACACATATATGTGTTTATATATATATATATATTCATCTAACTAGCTAGATCTTAATCAACTATAGATCCTATAGCGCATCAAGAAACATCTTATGTGGATGTATGGGCACAATGATAGTTATCTCAGTAAGGGCCTATTTGTTTTAGATTTTTTAATTAAAAAATCGGTACTTTTGAGAAATTTTCAGATGTTTGTTTAAATGTTTAAACAATTTAAAGAATTTTTTTTATTTTTAAATGCTATTTTAAATAGCTCCTAATTATATTTTAAGAAGCTACTTTCAAGTAAAAATTGCTCTTTTATATTCGTAACAAACATAAATAACTTTCAATGTTCATAAAATATCAAAATAATAAATCACTTTTTTATCAGAAAATTTGAAAATCACTTATTTTTTAAAACTCAAACAAACAGTGCATACGCTTGTTTTTTCGGAGAAACTCTTGTTTAGGAATCGCTTCCATTTCAGACAATTTGTTATTTATACCCTCACTAATAAACTCATTCAACTCTCCATAATTTTTCAGATCAATATGAAGCTGGCTAGAGTGCTTGTGCCTCCTGGCTAGCCGACCTTCCCATCTATATTAAGTTGTTATTTGGTGATTGGTGATGTAGGACCCTCTCAAATCATGACTATGAAGTGAAGTTGAAATACTCTCTCTGATTCTTATTATGCGCGTTAAATAACTAATTTGTGGATAATGAACAATTAGTTATAATTAATTAAAAGTAATAAATAAGTGAGAAATATATTTTTATTTTCAAATATGCCTTTATGATAAATGACAAAAAATATGAAAGAGAATAAATAGGGAAATGTGATGAGAAAGAGTATGATAAATGAGAAGGAATAAATAATTAAGGATAAATTTGAAAAAAAAATTAAATGTTAAGACAAACCTTAATTGAATCTTATAAAATGGACCACACCCCTCTCAAAATTTGTAACTTATAAATAGGAACAGAGGGAGTATATATTATGTCCACTATAAAATGGTTATGGTTGTTATGCAATACGCTTGCTTCTTTAATTTGTTAGTTTGATTTTACATCCTATTCCAATTATTGAATGAAGTATGATTTGCATATTCATATTCTCATATCTTAAATCTAAGAGCTAGTTAGGGATTTGTTTTGCTCTTAAATATAATTAAGACCTCAGTCTATTTTGTTTCAAAAATTTATAACTTTTTTCAAACTAACTATATTAATTGTACATGTTAGGGTGATTTTCATTAAAAGGTAGTTACAATACCAATAATTAAAGGGGATATTTTAGGACAAAAATATTATATCAAATTTCTTATATCCATTATATGAGGTTCTCCAATTACATATGGTCATGTGGCCTCCTTTTTGTATGTAGGTTTATAGTTTAAATAATGATAATATTTTAAAAAATGACACATGACCATGTGTGATTGAAAAACTAGAGGTCGTATGTGAATGAATAATTCATGTTGTTGTTAGTTATTTGAGCCAGGAAGTACGTTATAGGCTTATTAGGCTAAGTGGAATTATATTGGCTTAGTTTAAGCACCAATCATAGATCATGCATTGCCAAGTGTGACCTCCGTTAGCTTCCCTTTTCCTTTTTATTAAGGCAAGGGCATAGATATGAAGCGTTGCAATAAAATCATATTCCTTTCCATTGTTTCATAAAGTTTTACCCCCATCATGTGCTTAGGGATCTAAATGTGTAGGAAGAAAAAATGATAAACACTCAGAAAAATCAATCATTTGCACCAAAAAAGTATTAATACTAACATGATCTCTTATATAATTAAATTGCATTATATAGATTTACATAAACTTAACTTTCATCTTATTGATTGAATTCTCTGCTTAATTATGACAGCATGAAGTCAACTATTGACCGCTACAATAAACAAAAAGATCAGGAACACCACCCGCTTATGAATCCAGCTTCAGAAGCCAAGGTACTAAGTTCATAAAAGTCATGTCTAGTATTTGCAATTGTCAGTGTGCTTTATATTTAACTCCAAGCAACTAGATAAAATGGAAACATCAATTCCAATATAGAGAATGATATATAAGACTTAGAAATTATTGGTGAAGCAAAAAGTGAATACATTATCTAAGTAGGACCTAATTGGGGAGTTCATGTTGGTCCTATATATAAGACCTACTTTATATATTTATTAATTTTTTTTCAAGTTAACCCTATTGATATTTTCTCAACAATAATTAAGTAGGAGAGGTAGGGAGAGAATTAGGATGATGTTTATGGAATTTAGAAAAAATATATCATATTAACTAATTTAATTAACATTTTTAATCTACTCAAATTAATTAACTAGGTGTTACATTTAGGATCAAATCAGTACTACTACAGAAATTGAAGTGGCACAAATTAAAGAGAAACAGAGATCAAGGAGAGATGGGAGAAGAGACGAAGAACACACACAACTCAGACATCTCAATGGCAACTAATTTAACCAACATAACTATTAGTGCTCTCTGAAGGAGAAAAAGGACCCCAAGTGATACATAACTAATTGATTTTTATCCAAACTTACCTTTTTAGCATATGCGTCTAATAAGAGTAAATTAGAAAGTTTAACTCCTTTAGACAAAAGCAATGATTTAACTACATTTTCTTAGTTCTGGTTAAGCATTTAGATACATAGGATGAGGCAGTATTTGGATAAGAAGGTCTTCAAAACATATATTGAGATCATTACAATCATATATATGCTTCTAACATTTTTTTAACAGTGCACAACCCAAAACGTAACACAAACTACTGCACACCCTTCAATCGATTCACCTAATTCATGTAACTTAGTTACTTTTTTTTCCCCCCAGTTCTCCCCTTATTTAATGCTCACTTTATTTTTTGAGAAAGGTAACATTTGTCGCAAGTCATTTTATACATCCAATAGGGGTATATTAAGAAAAGAAACTTTACATACGTCTTAAATTTTGTAATTTGTCTTATAAATGGAAACAAATCTCCCTACAAAGTTTCCTACTAATAGAAACTGAGGGAGCATTATTATAAGTTATATTCTAGAATGATTTTATGGTCCTTTAATGCATACAAGTTACTTCTGTCATACATGCTTCTCAATAAGAAAAGTAGTTTAAAGATTAGTTAAAGCATTAGATTTGTTTTAAAACCTTAATTAGTTCTCATAGGAAAAAGTGCAAATTTCATTTTGGTCCTTTAATTTTTCAAGTTGTTTAAATAATGACATATATGACAGAAAGAAAAAATCATTTGATACTAATGATTTTAGGGTTAGATGACTAAAAAGATAGTTTTTAAAAATTATGAGACCAACTAAAATCTTGTAAAAAGTTAGAGAACTAAAAGTAAATTTTAACTTTTTTCAATATTACCCTTGTTATTTACACTAAATCCCACTATCAAATACTCCCTCCATCCCTAAATATAAGCAACAAATAACTACCTTCCCTAGTACAGAAGAAAATTTATTTTTGTTGGTTCAATGCTTTAAATATTCTACAAAAATACCCGTAATGAAGTCATTAAAGAGAGTCATTAATGGAGTTTCCTAAATTTATACTGGAAAAGAATGTAATGCTTTTGAGAAGTAATTGTACAATGTTATAAAGAGATTTGGACCTAAAGGCATCTTCATGCTTGTATCATTAGTTACAACTCGTACCTTCTTACAATTGCATCACTCTTGATTCAATGTAATAGTTATATCTGTTGTTGCACTTGTTAGTTTTGGCAGAGAGAAGCAACGGTCTTGAGACAACAGCTGCAACACTTGCAGGAATTGCACAGGTACAAGATATTGATCTCCACATGGAAAATGCTATGTGCTGTTTTTTCCCCCAAGAATATTTGGAACAAATTAGTGAACCAGAAGCAACTTACTTCCTTTGGGAAATGTGTAGGCAATTCATGGGTGAACAACTTTCTGGTTTGGGAATTAACGAATTGAAAAATTTGGAAAATCAACTGGAGATGAGTTTGAAAAATGTTCAGATCAAGAAGGTATGATAGATCATTTCAATTTATATCCACATTCAAGATAATTTAATAACATGTGGCAAATATGATAACCTGAGCTTTATCATTAATTGGTCTGCAGGATCAAATTTTGACAGATGAGATTAAAGAGTTACAACACAAGGTATATATTCAAGAATTCTGTTTCTGATCTTGCCATGTAAGAAAGGACTTCCCGCAAATTCTGATTAATTTATTGATTCTATTGCAGGGACATCAAATTCGTCAAGAAAATGTGCAACTCCACAAAACAGTAGAAGTCATTAGTAAAGAAAATGCAGAATTACAGACCAAGGTAAGTTGACTAAAAAAAGAACATTTTATGATTTAGGTCATGTAAAGTGCTACAGACGAACAAGCTTGCCCTCAATTATTATTACACAAGAACATAGGAGGCAAGAGGAAGACATCAACTATAGTGAGCCTGTACTATTTATTTAAAAGCTACATGTTTTCAAGGTTTCTTTCAAGGTTTTCATAGACTTGGTTTGCTTTGTTTTGCCACTTTCCTTAGATTTCTGAAGCAAGCGTTGTGAATGAGGGAAATGGGAATTCTAATCCTACACAGTCTGTCAGCAACAAATATGGATCACATCCACCTATTCATCTCCAGCTGAGCCAGCCACAGTCTCAATCTAGTGAATCACCAGCGAAAACAATGGAGCTGGGGTATGTACCTTCAAACTGGTGAAATAAACATACAGCTTGAACACCCGGTTAATTCTCACCATAGGAGTTAATCGATGGGGTTAGATTTGATCATAAATATAAGACTTCAATTTAATTTATCTTTGATATTTATCATTTTTCATCAAATTGATTTACTAAACTTATAAATTGATATATAATGTAATGTTACAGGGATATTTTAGCTAGGAAGATCAAGTCACATTTGTTATAATTAACTAATTTATCTCGTTTCATTAATTTACTCAAATTAGTTAAATAGCTCCTATATTAAAAGATGGAGAAAATATATATTTGCATGTGTATATGTTGCTTATTCTCATAAATTCCTACTAAGAACTTGATTTTTATGACAGATTACAGCTGCTTTAGCACTAGCTAGCCCTTTGATAGTCTAGGATTCTCAATGCCAAGCTACCAACCAACTTTCCTGTGAGAGATGTTTCATAAGGAATCATATCTCTCTTTTCACTTCGATCAGCAAGATAGTTAGAATCAGAATAGCGCAATGCATATATATGGTATGGGTTGATGTTTCATCGGGAATCACTTCTGTTGTTGGTTAAATATTGGATATGTCTCTGTAAATTTTAGACAATAAAGCTATCAAATGTGCCAAAGTGTTGAATTATTTAGTCTTTAAGATCTGTACGTTGTGATCAAATGAAAGGAATTTGGTCTGTTTAGGTCCTTTTGAGATGACATAACCATCGATGTGTAAACCTCCCATTTTCAATAATTTTGTTGCTGATATTTTCTTGAGGAAGAGTGAAGACATTAACAAGTATAAGTCTGGGGCATGAAGTACACAACCTTCATGCCCAAAAACTGAGCACTTATATTTATAATTTTCAGTTAATTAAAACAATCTCTCAGAGAGTTTCTTCACTCTTACCCTTGTCTTACAGTGAGTAAGACAATAATCATACAAGAATGATGTTTCTGAAAGAGAGTATCTCAAGAAACATACTCAAACCAGATGAAATAATGGAGATTTCATTAGTTTTGGCTCAAAAAATGATTTGCTATCTTTGAAACTCATGAACTCATCAGATCACTTTTTAACTTTTTTGTTATATGTAAATACAAATTTGGAAGGTCATTTTTTTTTTTTGGATAAAAGGAAGGTCATATTTATAACCAACCTATAACACTCTAAATTTTGAATCACTGGTCAAATAAGCTAATTTGGGCCAAAAGTTGAAAAATGTAATAAGTTTAGGGGCAAAAGTATAAATAAACAAAACTGTTGGGCAATGTATAATTATAAAAAATGCTCAGAAATTAAAGAAAAATCTTAAAAGATCCAAAAGAGATTCCTATGGCATTTTGAGGCCTAGAGAAATTCTCATTTTTTCCAATGAGGCCTAGAAAAATTACTTAAGGTAATGACGCCTCAAAAACAATTAATTTAGCCAAAAAAAAACTTATTTTCAGATGAAATTTTAACGGGTTTAATGGGAATATAATTATTAAAATCATGTAAAGGCCTACAAAAATTAAGAAAATTTTATAGAGTTTTAATTGAGACTTTATGAAGTTTATGAGGAATTTAATTTCCCACAAGTGACTTAAATTATTTTTAAATTTATTATTAGGAATTTAGGGCCTCCTGCAAATCCAATGAAAAATAATTAGATGTTATCGTTTGGCTTGAAAATTTTAAATAAATTATTTTATAATGTAATGAAGTTAATTAAGACAGAGAATTATTAAACAGTGGCTGAATTGATTTCAAAAAATAGTAACGATAGAGGGTACAATGGTCAATTTACCACCCTAAGCCCGAAAAGGAAATTGGCCCGTGCCCAAGCCCATTTTATAGAGCCCAAAGCGTATATAGTCTGATCCAAATGGGGGGAAGAAAGCCTGATCCATTATTTCGGAAAAAGAATATATACAAGAACGCCCCGGGGGGGTGGGGATAAGAATGGGTTATTTGATGGGGGACGTAGTCCGATCCGTTATAGAACTAAACTTGTGATGCTTGTTTTCATTACATTCACGTTGATTTGAGTTGAGTTGTTGAATCTGGAATTTTTTGCGTGGGGAGTGTCGTTTGACTTTTTTTTTTTTTAAATGGTTTGCCAAGGGTGTTTAAATGCTATAATGGATAAGCTATGAAGATGTATTGTGGTGATGCGTGCGCGTTGATCGATTTTTAGGAACTGTAACTTGGATGGGATGCTGTGTTGCTCCGCTGTTTTGATGTTTTAAAATATTGAATAAGTACCAATAAGTGGTTGATTGGGGTGGTAGTAGGCCCGCAAAAAGAAGAACACAAGTTAGAATATCGAAAGCACATTTGTTGGGAGTGTTAGACTAGTTGGTTGCGTGGACAAAATACAAGGCCAAAGAAGCCCAACGTTCAGATATTACGCCAGATATTAATGGTTTAAAAAACAAAAATGCTGAATAAGTATTCTAAATTGTTAAACTATCTTTGGAGACGCCAATATGATGGTTAAAACCGTTTTCTTGAAGCTCCAAAATTTTCAACTGTTCGAAATTTTTAAAAGGCTAAATTGATTAAAAGCAAGGGAAGTGGTGTAATAAGATAATTATTAGAAGTTTGATGTTGGAGAGCATGGTGAGTTCGAAAATTGGAAGCTTAAAGTGCTAGGAATTAGTGCCAAAGGAATTTCCAATATTCCCTTGTTTTTGTTCAGCCTCTGTTTGGGTAAGAAGGAGCTGGAATTTTGCAATTCAAAGCTTAAAAACGAATTATTTGTGCCAAATTGTATAGGGTGAGCATGAGAGAGGAATTACCAAGTAAGAGAATAGAGAAGTCACGTTAACAGTTGAAGTAAGAAGGGACAAAGTTACAATTGGCCAAAAAAAAAAAAAGAAGGGACAAGGTTATAGAGTTAAACGAAAAATAAGAATTTGGCGCTTAGAGAGAGATTAACTATGTTATTAAAATATACCAATTTGTGCGAATTAATCTATATCCCTATCAAGCAAGGAAGAGGAAGTAAGTTGGAAGTTGGTACATGACAAACTCAATTATTTTTATATATTTTGATATCTTTTATATGGGTTTTGTCAACTTAATTAGTCTTTTTGGCCTTAATTGATTGTTAATGGATTTAATATATTTTATTTTGAATATTATTTTATAGGGGTAAAATTGTCATATTTTGGTTTAATTGTGAGTAATTGATTTTTGAGGACAATTAATGCTACCTTATTTTTAAATTTTGTTTGCAGGTTTTTGGAAAATTTAAAAATTAAAAAAAAGAAAAAGAAAAAAAAAGAAAACAAATATATATAATAACGTTTTGCCCCAACCTAATAATATACTAGTCATCATCATCTTCACAATCCGGAGAAGCAGAGACGGGGACACGCAGAGAGAGCGAGCTGGGTGGCGGCGGTGAAAAGAAAAAAATAAAAAGAAACACACACCCACGAGCTGAAGGAGGCACAGTAAGAGAGAGCGACGGCACTATTCATCATCATCTCCATTCATCTTCTCTGCGTCTTCTCACTGGTGGCAGAGAGAAGACGGCGAGTGACAGAACCAGAGGGAGCAAAGCAGAGAACGCGAAGCTGCAGTCAGATCCCAATAACTCACTGTCACTAATATCTTTTCCTCTTCGACGTTCCTCCATGGTAGCTTGCAGCAGAATGTTGATTGTGGCATTCACTATGACAAACTGTGGCTGACTTCTAATTCTCTAGAGCAATGGTTATGGCTTGAACTTAGAGCTTCAAAGGGGAGTTTCGACTCTTCTAATCTTTACTTCTTTCATTATAATTGTGATTTTTAGGTCTTAGAATGAATTTTATAATGTTTGAATGGACTGTAATGATTTATATTTGTATTGAGATTGGTTGTAGTTGTTGGAATCTTTGATTAGCATTTAACATTATGCTGTAATTAGCTTTAATTTCTTTACATTGTACTGGGTCAGACTATGTTTTGAAATTATTGTGAACATTTAGTGGTAATTCAAGATGGCTTGGTTATTGGACTAAAAATGTTAATTGCTTTTCTTTGATTTTTTTTTACTAATTATGCTGAAACAGTTTAATTGTGAATAATTAATATGCAAGGTAGCTTGGTGTTGATTATTCTAATTAAACCGAGTCTAGGGGGTGGCCCTTAGAGTCTTTTGAATTTAGCTAACTCCCAAATTAATTGAAGTAATGATAGCCTTAATCATTGTGCTAGAGGATTGCTTTTCCATTTGCTGTCACTTGTTTACTCACTTTGCTTATTTTATTCATATCCATTTTATAAATTAAAAATCCAAAAATTATTTACTCATTTTGCATCCTTTTAAATTTTGCCAATTAGTCAGTTAAAAAGAAAATCAATCCCTCTTTAAGTCAATTCTTTATTTTTGATACTTAGTTTGCTTAGGATTTCAAATAAAGGCTCCTCAAAGTAAAACGACTCGAGTTTTGCACTATATTGTATTGCTTGGATTTATTTTTGATTGGGAACTCCAAGGCGAACGACAAAGGCTCTCATCAGTACAAGAGGTCGTCAACCTTTTACTTCTCATATTTTCATGCATAGTTTGTTGCATGGTTGTTTGTGCCATATTTGCTGTTAGGGACATGCAAAGACCAAGTTGGATCGGGTTATACCTGATGTCCAGTCTAAATAGCATCAGGTTAGAAAAAGTAGTCCATATCCAATCTGACCTGGGCAAAGTCCAGTCCTTACCCAGAGTAGACCTGGTTATATGGGGCTTTCGAGCTGCTCTCCATTAAAAAACCTAAGGAAAAATTCAAAAAATAATCCAACCCAAATCAAAGAACCCACGTCCTTGTTTAGATGCAAAAACCCATCTCCTTTCTCCAACAAAATCCAGACCTGAGATGAAGTTGAAGACAGTCTTGAAGTCCAAATCTAAGAACCCAAGATGGAAGATGC